CTGCCCAATTCTACTTGCTTCCTTTCCTTCACAGGTGGCGATCCTGAGAGTACTCCCTAATAAACCTCAGGCAAGTTCATCTCCATCTTAGGGTCTGCTATTGGGTCACCCAACCTGTAGAAGTTGGTGCCAGGATGCTCCGAGAAAGCAGATAGTAAGATGGGATTTTGGAGCTGGATCCCTCGCCACCCAGCCAACCAAGATGCCAGCGCCAGTTAGGTGGAGTTCGAGAGTCCCCAGTGAACTGGGATGGTATGCCTGCCACTGGCTGGGTCAGGCCATCAGGCTTCTGAGAAACATGAGGGAAATCGTAACTACAAGAATAAGGGAACTGAGTGTAGTTAAGCTCAAGTGATGCTCTAGAAAAAAAGTAATGAAAAGTTTAAAATAATTCATCAGCAATTAAAAGCATGGAAAAAGTGATGGCCTGCCGCAAGTGCGGCAGAAACGCCATCACTGACAGGAAGGATAAAAAGGCTCCAAAAGTGGGTGTCAAGAATGGATATATTATATGAGGTTGGAAAACTCATGAAATAACTGTGTTCCATGGGATACACAATTTTCCAAAGTAATAAGGAATGTTTAGTAAGAGGGGCACCAGCATCACTAGGAAAGTCCATAATGGCTCCCCTATACAGGCCAAGGCTGATGGTAGGAAACACCACTGTTGAGCTGGGCTCGCCAACAGCAATAGACATGATAGGACTTTCCACCCACAATAGAGGCTAGGGGGCAGCATATAATCATTAGAAACCCATTACCATAGGCCCAATAGTGTGGGCTCCCACTTACCAAAGCTGATATAGGTTTCTGACACATGTCAAATGTCTAACCTGCTAGCAGCAAAAACAGAAGCCAAATCTCCAATATGGCACCATACCTTGAAGAGACCAACTAGCCTCTTAATGGCAAGTTGACGACACTGGATTCCTTCTACTCCAAAAGGTGAAGCAATTTGTTTTGTCAGGAATAAATACTTTCATGCATGGTTTCATGCATGGTTTTGCCTTTACTGCCCACTGAGACTCAACCATCACCATGCTCCAAGAGCTTACAGTGTCTGAACAAGAGGCATGGGATCCCATCACATCACACCAAGGACCCAGTCTTTAGCAAAGGAGGTGTAAAGTGAGCACACGACTAGGGGACCCACTGGTCACATTACATATCACATCACCCAGAAACCGCCAGCCTGATACAGTGACAGAATGGGCTGGTGAAGGCACAGCGAAAGCATAAACTTGAAAGTGACATCTACAGAAGACAGGATGCCATCTTCCAGCATGCAGTGTCCACTTTAAAATAGCAACCTTCATATAGTGCTGTGTGTCCAACAGATAGAACTCATGAGTCCAGAAACAAGGAAGGAAGCAGGAATGGCCTTCTTACCATTACTCCTGCAATCCACCTGCGGAATTTGCACTTCCTGCCCCAACAACTCTAGGCTCCACCGGTTTAGAGACCTTGATTCCCATAAGGAAAATGTGTCCAACAGGGGACAGAGTGTGGCTGCCACCCCCCTAGTTTCCCCAATGAAGGAAGCCCCCTCTTGCCATTTCAGGACAATTCTGAAGGGTCATCCCATAGGGAGATCTCTACTGAGACAGCATCAAAGCTCAACTTGTCCCTCTGCCCAATCCTGCTACCTTTCCCTTCCTTCCACAGCTGTGGATTCCAAGAGCACTTCCTAAGAAATCTCTTGTACGTTCATCTCTGTCTCAGAATCTAATTCCTGAAGAACAGTGTCATCCATGTCAGGAGAAGAGGGGCTTCTGATCACCTACCCAGAAGGATAAGGGTGTGTGATACGCAGCAATGATGGTGCCACCAAAAGCAACTATATGAAACACTGTGAGAAAGGGAACTGGGCAAATGAGCGAGGAGGGAGGGAGCAAGAAAGATGTTGTGAAGGAGATGGGAGGTGAGCAAAGGAAAGGACCTCCTGGGATAAGGTCTTGGAGAACAGATGGAATTTGAGCCCTAAGAGTCATCAATGTCCTCTTACATAGGAAGGATAGAGACTGAGAGCAGTAACAGTTAAGGAGAAATGGGGCTATTTGAAGTCCCCTTCTTAATAACCATCTAAAGATATCCATCCTGCTGTCCATCAAGATGGACCTTGACCATCCCTTTTGTGTCTCCCCGTTCTCTAGTTAATCTAATGTTTTTATTAGTATCTATAAGTCCCATGAGGGGAAGCTTAGACAACAAATTTGATTAAGACTTCTTGGACTGTTGCTTGATTTTGCGGCAAAAAAGTTACACGGAGGGCCCATGCAGAAGTGGCCTGCTTAACCACAGTGTTTACCATGACCTGGGCAATAGGCATATTCAATGGGTGAGTATAAAGCCAGGGTCATCATAAAGCCAGTCCCACATGGCTTGCTTATGAAGCAGATCACCTTGATGTAGGGCATTCCACTTGGCATTTATAGGGATTGTTATAGTCTCCCTTGTCAGGGTAAACAGACCTCACAGTAGCTTTTATCCAATCCAGCAGGCTAGCCATTTCCTCAGGAATAACCCTCTGTGTATCTGGATCATGTATAGCCATCTCGATTGTTCCACAGAAAGCTATGGGTCCTGTAACAACCCAAACATGCTCTTCCATTCTGAAGCATATAAAAACAAAGATACTTAGTCACACTCAGAGTCCATTTCAGGAAAGTTTCTTCAGAAAGTTGATGATACTAATCTACAAAATAAAACAACTCTCTCATATTATACCTCCTGATTTCAGTAGTTTCTTGGTTTTGTCCTCTTCCCATGTGGCCTATCTTCCTGTGACCAGAGTCTTAAAGGTACTCTGTTTTCCCCACATAATGTTTCCCTTTGGGGGTAGATCTGAGACTAGTGGCGAAAACTGAGACCAACAGAAATCTGAGGTTGGTCCAGCATCAAGGTCTCACCCAGCACTCTCCCTTCCTTTCGTTTTAGGTATTACAGGTAACAACAACCAAAAGATTATATAGTTTGCTTTTTTCATATTAGTTTCCATTGCCTTAAGCATCCAGTTAATCAATTCCCCAGGAGTTGGATCTACCTCTAAATTCCATTGGTAAATTTTACCTCTAGTAATTGATTATAGCACAACTGCTGTTCCATGCTTTGGGTGACTATGTGGCCATGGCCACCCTGGAATCAAAGGTTCCTCATCCTCTCCTCCACCCTTTCATCCTCTTTTCCCAAACCACATGTTTCCATGAGCTAGGGCCTGGCTAGAAAATCCTACTTCTTTTTTTTCTTTTCTTTTCTTTTTTTTTTTTTTAAGCAAATCCTACTCCTGACACCACTTCTGGTGACACCACACAATTCTCCAATTCTCCAAAACCAACTGGCTATACAACAACTCAATTAAATTCTGACACTACCTGGAGTTAACATCAGATCCCACAAATTAAAGGACTCAGTCCCACAAGACTGCCCAGCTTCAGACGCCAGTTGCAAGCTCCAGGTTGCCACTGGTACTTCTGATCAACCAGTTACAAATTCTGGGGTTCCATGACACTCTTGTCAGGTTTGATATTTTGCTGGAACAGCTCACAGAACTCAGAAAACACCCTACCTATATTTATCAGTTTATTATAAAAGGTACAAGTCAGGAATAGCCAAATGGAAATGCACAGGACAAGGCATAAAGGGGAGGATGTCATGGAGCTGCCATGTGCTCTCCAGGTGTGCCCCATCCTAGCAACTCAGTAAGTTCACCAACAGGAAACTCTCAAAGAGATAGAGAGCTCATTCTCCAGTCCTCCTCCCTTCCCTGTAGGTTGAGGGTGGAGCTGAAATTTCTCACCCTCTAATCATTTTGTCTTTAAGTCACCAGCCCCATCCTGAGGCTATCCAGGGGGCCCACCAGAAGTCACCCCTCATTAGCATAAATTTAGGTGTGATTGAAAAGGACTTGTATAAATAACATGGAAATTTAAAAGATTTTAGGAGCTCTGTGCCAGGAACAAACAGGAACTGGAGACAAAGACCAAATATATTTCTTATTATACCAGTTACTCTGAGATGATGAGGAAAAGAGTCACTTGAAAGAAATTCTCAAAGGAAGGAATTGACAGGACTTGGTAGTTCTGGGCCTCTTGGAGAAGAATGCTAGGAATTAAAGAGCTCACAGGTTTTAATTGCTGTTCTGCCACTTAACCTCCCCATGCTTCTTTTTCCCCATCTGCAAAGTGGAAGTAATAATAGTATCATACTTACTGCTTAGGATTGTTCCAATTGAAGATAGGATTATAAAGTGTGTGGATCCATGCGGGAACATGTATAGAGCTCAATAAATGTTAGGTTTCACCATCGTGGATACACAGGGATGGGACACCCAAGTTCTAGTCCATGTTCCTGGCTCTCCTGGCTGCACGCTCTGTACCCCTCCTTAGTCACTTCATTTCTGGGCCAGTTTCCTCATCTGTAAAGTGAATGTGTGGGTGTCCCCACGAGGTCAGGGTCCCTTCCTCAGGAAAAGTCTGCATGAAATGTGACTCAAAGATTCTCAGTCAGGGTAACTCAAGGGTGCTGGTGCCAGTGGCAGAACATGGGAGGCGAAGGGGAGGCGCTCTCCGGCCAGAGGCAACAAACTCGGGGACCTGCTTGGTCATGCTCTCCCCCCGCCTTCCTTCCCGAGTGGGCGGCCGAGTGGAGAGCCAAGTAGGCCTGGCAGTTAGGAATTTAGCTCAAGTTTGGAGAGAGGAGGCGCCTAGGAGCCCCGGCGAGCCTTTCACCAGGCACACCAGATTGGCTCCACAACAGGTGGGTGGGAAGCTGCAGCGCCCTTCCGCTGTTTAGACCGCAGCGACCTTCCCTCCTCCCAGCGGCCCGCGCAGGCGCAGGCGCAGGCGGGGCGGGGGCGGGGCGGGGGCGGGGCGGGGGCGGTCCCGGGCGCGCTCGGTTCTCTCCACCTCCCCGGCTCTGACAGGACTCCTGGCAACCGCGGCCATCAGCTGCTGGGGAACAGAGGAAGAGGAAGGGGTGGAGCTGTCTTGCGGCTGGACGCGGAGCAGTCAGCCGGCTGCAGCGGGGGCTTGTCAGCTGTTCCTGGCGCTGCCCGGCTCCTTGAGAGCCAGCGCCTAGACCGGCGGGACCCGGACGGGCGAACCAGCCTGTCTAGGAACTCGGGCAATGCCCCGCCACGGAGTATCTGCCGGCGAGGGCCACCCCAGGTCCAGCTGGGAGACGGAATCGGACCGGTCCCGGGGTTCCCCCAGACTGAGGCTTCTGTGGATAGGCCTGGCTGTGGCGCTGGCCCTGCCGGACTCCCTGGTTCTCTGGGCCCCGGCTGGGGCCCACCCTCTTCCCACCCAAAGCGATCCGGCCAGGTTCAGTCGCTTAGTGCCCCAGCTCCGCAACGCCTTTGGGTGGTGGAACCTCACCTGCCCAGTATGCAAAGGCTTGTTCACCGCCATCGACTTCGGGCTGAAGGTGAGCGCTTAAAGGGGCTGCGATGGAGCAGTCAAGGGGAGCGCTGGCGGGGGCAGGGGCAAGGGCGGGGCTGGGCCTGGGTTCCTGAAGAGCAAACCTGATGGGGAGGCTGGCATCTACAAGCCTTCACTGGGTTTGCTGTCCTTTAGGGACACCCATGACTACACGCTGCCGCCACCTCCACTGTGACCTTGTGAAGTAAGGAAAGACTGCACTTTGTATGCTGGCACTGTGCTAGCCGTTTTGTACAGGTTAAATCAAACCTGTGAGGTGTTTCATTACAGTTGTTATCTTCATTTTACAAATGAATGGAGTCTGGAAGAGGTGAAGGCACTTGCCTAAGGGCACACAGCTGGCGCCTAGGGGAAAGGCTGGGACTCCTTTCCTTGTACATCTGACACTGAATCCCCTGTGCCTTAAACTTAGCATCTCTAATCCAGAGCACCAGGCCTTGTACCAGTTACTCAAAAGGGACTTAAATTCAGAAACATCCAAGGGTGTGGGACTAAACCGGGATGCCTTGACCCTGATGGGATTATGATGAGTGCTAGTTGGTAGGTGAGCTTTGCAGTGCTCTCCAGGGCCTGCCCCAAACTATGGACAGCCATACTACCCAGCCCCAGTTTCAGGGCACTCTGCAGACAGTGCCTGAGGAAGCCAGCGGGGCAAGCAAAAGGCCTGAAATGCCACTGCCTACTGAGGGGAAGAGGAAGTACTGGCCTGGTGCCGCTGAGTCCAGGGCAATATCTGTGGGAGGCAGGGAGTGCGCTGAGGTCTCTTCACCGTGGTGGCACTGAGTCCAGCCTGGCCCCAGTTTGGAGACAGAGGTGCAAAGAGTGGTAGCCAGGGCTTGGCCTGGTCCCTGTGCGGTCTCTGACCTCTCATCACTGGTTCTTCCCACTACAGAAGGAGCCCGGTGTGGCCTGGGTGGGCTCCATGGCCACCAAGCTCTGCAAACTGCTGAAGATAGCACCGCCCACTGTGTGCCAGTCCACCGTCCAGCTCTTTGAAGATGACATGGTGGAAGTGTGGACACGCTCAGTGCTGAGCCCATCTGAGGCCTGTGGTCTGCTCCTGGGCTCCACCTGTGGGCACTGGGACATCTTCTCATCTTGGAACGTCTCTTTGCCAGCTGTACCAAAGCCTTCCCCACAACCACCCAAGCCCCCAGCCCCAGGTGCTCCTGTCAGTCGCATCCTCTTCCTCACTGACCTGCACTGGGATCATGGTTACCTGGAGGGCACAGACCCTGACTGTGAGAACCCACTGTGTTGCCGCCAGGATTCTGGCCTGCCACCTGCCTCCCGCCCAGGTGCTGGATACTGGGGCGAGTACAGCAAGTGTGACCTGCCCCTGCGGACCCTGGAGAGCCTGTTGAGCGGGCTGGGCCCTGCTGGTCCCTTTGATATGGTGTACTGGACAGGAGACATCCCGGCCCACAACGTCTGGCACCAGTCACGTCAGGACCAGCTTCGGGCCCTGACCACCATCACAGCCCTTGTGAAGAAGTTCTTGGGCCCAGTGCCTGTGTACCCTGCTGTGGGCAACCACGAGAGCACACCTGTCAATGGCTTCCCTCCCCCCTTCATACAGGGCAATTACTCTTCCAGCTGGCTCTACAAGGCAATGGCCAAGGCGTGGGAGTCCTGGCTGCCTGCTGAAGCCCTTCACACCCTCAGGTAGTTGAGGTCCAGGGAAACCCAGGAAGGGAAAAGGTGGATGATAGTGAAGGGAACAGAGTACCTGGGCATTACCTGTGACTGTTCTAGCATGAGTCAGCTCTCCTCACTGGCCCTCCCTGATCTGACCCCAACTTCCACCTCTGCCCTTATATCCAGACACCCTCCCTCACAGGGCTGACAGCGTACCCTCTCCATGCTGGTCTGTGTCCTTGCTCATGTTGGCCCTCTCTAAAATGCACCCCCCACTTTAACATCCCAACTTTCCTAGGCCCAGATCATATTCCTTATGAAGGGCCTTTTCTTCCCATTCTAGCTTACTTTTATCTCTCCCCTGAACTCCTAGAGCCCTTAGCCTTCTGAGCCCCTTCACCTCAGTTACATGGGCTCTACAATCAGTCTGTTTTTTGGTCTTCAGCTGGACTGTGAGCTCCTTGGTGGATGTCCCGTGTGCCTCTGCCCTCCACCCAAATGCTTTGCACAGGGCTGGGCGTGCAGGACCTGGATTATGAATGAGTGTTGACCCTTCGTGTTCACTTTGTTTCAGAATTGGGGGGTTCTATGCCCTCTCCCCACGTCCTGGCCTCCGTCTCATCTCTCTCAATATGAATTTTTGTTCCCGTGAGAACTTCTGGCTCTTGATCAACTCCACAGATCCTGCTGGACAGCTCCAGTGGCTAGTGGGGGAGCTTCAGGCTGCTGAGGATCGAGGAGACAAGGTGAGGGAAGGCAGTGAGAACATGGGGGAGTAGGTGCTGACGGGGGTTGGGGGAGAAGCAGACCCTTTGTGACCAGACTTCTATCTAGAGCCAGAGCACCTCTGAGCAGAGAAGCTTGGTTTTCGGACGCTCCCAACAACAGTGGTCCCTGGGAGTTCGGCTCCTGGTGCCCCTTAGAAGCCCTTCCATTCACTCCCCCTCTCTGCCAGCAATGCCGGCCGTTGTAGATGAGTACCGACTCTTCCTGGCCAGGGCTGCCTGGACCCCTGCTTGCTCTGATAATTAATTAATTACTTTGAAGATCTAATTGGCTTTATTGAACAATTCATGAATCAGACAGCACCCCATCTATCAAATAGAGGGGCATTCTCCCTGATAACCTTCCTTAACTCTCCCTGCAGGTACATATAATTGGCCACATTCCCCCAGGGCACTGCCTGAAGAGCTGGAGCTGGAATTATTACCGAATTGTAGCCAGGTAGGGGGGAGGTGGGGAGAGGGTTGGATGAAGAGTCTGAAGGTTGGAAATTCCTTTGAGCATCTTATCATTCCTGCTGCCCCATTGGGGTAGAGAGGCTGCTTACTTCAATGTGTGGAGAAAGAAGCATCCCATCTCCCCAGATCTCCTCCCCCTCCCTAGAACCTTCTGAACATAATTAGTGTCTTCTGGCCAGGTATGAGAACACCTTGGCTGGTCAGTTCTTTGGCCACACCCACGTGGATGAGTTTGAGGTCTTCTATGACGAGGAGACCCTGAGCCGGCCACTATCTGTGGCCTTCCTGGCACCCAGTGCCACCACCTACATCGGCCTTAATCCTGGTGAGTGGGGAGTAAGGGAGTTGTTGGGATAGAGGACGTTGGTGGGATGGAGGAAGCAGAAACAGACTTGGAGCCAGGGCTGGCAAGGGGCAGGTGGGACATGTGACCCCTCCCTGGAGTGGCCTCGGCTCCTTGCCTCTCCAGTCAGCCCGCCCTCCTTGCAGGTTACCGCGTCTACCAAATAGATGGCAACTACCCGGGGAGCTCTCATGTGGTCCTGGATCATGAGACCTTCATCCTGAACCTGACAGAGGCTAATGAACCAGGAGCCACGCCACATTGGCAGCGTCTCTACAGGGCTCGAGAAACCTACGGGCTGCCCAGTGCACTGCCTGCCGCCTGGCATGACTTAGTGTACCGCATGCGGGGTGACACGCAACTATTCCAGACCTTCTGGTTTCTCTACCATAAGGGCCACCCGCCCTCAGAGCCCTGTGGCATGCCCTGCCGCCTGACCACTCTGTGCGCCCAGCTCTCAGCTCGCTCTGACAGCCCTGCTCTATGTCGCCATCTGGTGCCAGATGGAAGCCTCCCTGATGTCCAGAGCCTGCAGCCAAGGCCACCTTTCTGCTAGCACCCCCAGGGCCCAGAGTTGGGAAGGTAGAATTCGTAGGAGAGGAGCAAACCCCGCAGATGACAGCTGTGGTAAGAAGAGTATCTGGGCCCTGAGCACACCAGGGAAACAGGACCTTCTTTCATGGAGATGGTGTGTCTAGATACAGGAGGGGGCAGCTGCTCTGCCTGTGCCCAGCATCTAAGCTGCCCTGGGACTGCTGCCTCTCATGGCTTGGAGCAAAGGCCTACGTTGGTACTGCCCCGGCAGACCCAACAGGAGCTGGGCTGGCCAGCCAGGAACCCTGTACTGCTGCTGTTGCCTGGTTGCCAGGCTGTTAAAATAAAGATAAAAGACTTGGACTCCAGACCCCTCTGTGACTGTCCCACTTTCTTCTTTGAAAGCTGGGAGGGCAGGGCGCCTGAGTGGCTCAGTCGGTTAAGCCTCCGGACTCTTGGTTTCAGCTGGGGTCATAATCTCAGGGTCGTGGGACTGAGCCTCGAGTTGGGCTCTGCTCTTAGATCAGAGTCCGCTTGGAATTCGCTCTCTGCCCTCCCCCTGTGTGCGCGCCCTCTCTCATTCTCTCTCTCTCTCTAAAATAAATTAATAAAATTTTTAAAAAATAGTAATAATAAAAAAAATAAAGCGGGGAGGGCAAGGTGGCTTTGGGAATATGATCCTGAGGGCTGAGGGTACTGCAGGTGATGGTGTAATGCAGGCACCGGAAGGCACACAGCTTAGCAGGGCAGACAGACTTTATTAGTGGTATCAGTGCAGCAGAGGTGCCATGGAACAGGGGGGAGGGGACCCATGCCTGAACCAGTCCCCTCCTGCCCCTGCCGGACCCTACCAAGATGGGGCCTGGCCTACACCAGTTCCTCCTGCTCCACCTGAAATGGGGTGGAGAGCCCGGGGCTGGCCTTGCTTCTTGCTCCTCTTATCAATCCAGTATTGTCACTTCCTTGCAGGGATTAGGTCTCTCTCTCCCCAGCCCCTAGGCAGGGAACCCCAGCTACTGGGGAGGGGCAACTTTGGGGGGGGGTGCTGAGGCCTAACAATAGCCTCTAGGGCCCCTCCCTGCCCCACACCCTTGAGTTCCCTGGAGCCCAATGCAAGCAGGTGGAAGGAGGACTGAGGGCTTCAGGGGGTATGGGCCCCCAGGCGTTTGGGTTTGAGGGAACCCCACAGCGACTGAACGCCCCTGCGGACAGTCCACCCTACACGCCGGGCAACAGACTCAGCAGGGGGTGCTGGGAGGCAGGAGGTGGAGGCCTGGGAGCGTGCATCCAGACACTTCTGGTAGCGGAGCTGCAAAGAGGCAGGTGGGGCAGTCACTCTCCAGCCTGCCCCCTGTGAAGTGGGCGTCATCACTGCACCACCCTACCCACTTACCATGCACGCAGCCTGCACGGCCTCTGAGAGGCTGGCAGCATTGGGCTCGCACCAGAACATGTGGCAGCAGAAGGAGGCTGGGCCGGCAGCCATGATGAATGCAAATGTGTGGACATCTCTGCCCACAGCCAGGAAGGAGAGGAAACGCACCCGACATTCCCCCAGCACTGCTTCCGTCTAGAGGGATGGAATCTTGTTAGAAAGGAACAGCCCAACCCTCTCTTCCACTGGGCACATCCACCTTACTGGCAGCTCTTCCTCAACCCCCCAGGCTCCCCTCCAATGCAAGGCTCAGCCAGGCTTTCTCCCACCACAGTCTTTACCTGCTGATGCAAGATGGTAAGGGTAGCAGGGGCCACGCTGACGTGACTTGGGGTCCACTGCTCACGGCTACTGGAGGCCAGGACGGACTCCAGGGCCCCATTTATCACATCTACCCCTGGAAGACAAGGACACAAACATGTCACCACTAGGGGTGGGGAGAGGATACCCCGGGGCCTTTGCTCCATCCCCACTTCACCAGTCAACAGCCCTGGATGATGCTGCACAGGTATCCCTTCCTTGGTGCCCTCCTCCTTGGCTTCAGTGATTTAGCACTTTTCTGGTTTCTTCCATATTGAATCCTAGGCTTGGTTTTCTTCACTTGACTCTGCCTCTTCCTTCAGCCTCCAAAATGAACTGACCCCCTGAAGTTCTGACCCCCCCTTATCTTGGCTCTCAGTGTTCACCCACATTCAGACATCATACTGCATCATACCACAAGGACTCCCAAATCAGCCCCTATAAGCCCCTCCTCTCCCAAGACCCAACCTTTGTTTTGTTTTATATCCACTTGAGGTGTGTTGACTTGTGTCCCGCCCTACCTGCCATCCATTACAGTGCACAACCCCACGTACACCTTACAACAATCTCTCAACTGATTCTTTTATCACCATTTTACAGATAAGGAAACTGAAGCTTACAGTTCCCCTGCTCCTTCTCTTTATTTCCAGTTTTCAGAACTAGAAGGACTGTCAAATCTTAGCTGGATTCAGTAATTTCGGTAATTTCTAGAATGTGCTCCAAGGACAAGTAATGCAAGGTTCCTAGCTTTTAGATCAATCGACATCCCCCTGTAACACAGTGGTTCCCTCCACCTCAGACTGCTATCAAACACTTCACTCTTGCTGGCACTCAGCAGAGAATCGGGGCAGAAGCAGGATGTGGCACGGTGGGGGCGTGGGCTCCGGTCCCCGCACTACTCATGAACGGGCTGTGCAATCTACTGTGTCTTTACCTTTGCAGCGAAGAGCTTAGAGGAAACCGTGCCAGCGTGGAAGCATGCAGCTCTGTGGCCCACTCCCGGGTCCTCTCGCCCCTTTCAGTGCCTCTGGGCTCCCACAGGAGCAGACCACATGGACCCTTTGTGGGCAGAGGACAAGCAAGAGGACAAATGTCTTCCTCGAAAGTCCTCCCTCATCTTGGCCTTGCTCATCTTACCTCTGGCTGGATCAAGGCCAAATTCCTCTCCCAAGCACGCAAGTCCTCCAAAAACTGGCCTCATCTGAGCTGTCAAGCCTCGCATTTTATTGCTTCCTGAGCTTCAAATGATTTATGTAGCATTTATTAACATTTAATCTTGGCAAATGCCCTGGTAGGCAGATGGGGAATACAAAGTAAGAGAAGAGGGTGCCCTCAAGGGACACAGGCTGTAACTGTGGAAAAGCCTCTGTCTGGAGTGCCCTCTCCCTCTTGACTGTGTGAGAAACTCCCGATTCCCATCCTTCAGGGCTCACCCAGGCCCCGCCCAAGAACACTTGCCTGCTGCAAGGCAGAGAAGCAATGTTGCTGGGACAACTCTTAGCAGCACATCTCAAGGACAGAAGGCAAGTTTATTTCATCTCTGTGTCCCCAGTGCCAGCACAGGGCTTACCTACTTAAGGAGTTCCAGATGCATGAGCAAGACACCCTCAAGGCAACATGGGCCAATGCATCCAAACTGGTATAACCAAGTAAGCTAGGAGCCCCCAGAAGGGTGAACACACAGGCAGCTCCTGAGTGGGTCAGGTCCAATTGCCAAGGGCTGCAGTGTGTTTGACATTTATGTCAGTCAATGGAAAATCTCGAAGACCGTAAGTGTGGACAAGGTATCAAAGTCAAACCACTTAATAAGCTCTTAGGGCCGTGGGGGTGGGGCTTGGCCTTGGAGCATGGGGAGGATCAGCATAGGGCTGGGGAAAGTAGTGGAGCAATGTGGCCTAGAAACAGTCCGCCATATTTGGTGGCAACTCAGGATTAAAACCTCTACCCTGACCCCCAGCCCTGCACTCCCAATCCCCCTTATCCTACTGTGCATTTTTTTTTCCATATCAGTTGTTGCCTTCCAACATACTACATAATTTGGTTATTGTCTCTCTCTCCTGGCTAGAAGGTCAGCTACCTGAAGGCAAGAATCTGTCAGTTTTGTTCATTAATGTGTACCAAGAACCTAGAATAGTGCCTGGCACAGATCAGGCATCCAACAGTCACTTGTTGAACAAATGAATGACTTATGAATATTGCAGCTTCAGGAGGAGCCAATGTTAAACTCCTGGAGGTTAAAAAGAGAGCATAAGACAAAGCAGGAAGTGAGTTTAGGGACTCAATAGAGCAGACCCATGGAGGTGACGGGCAGCAGAGGGAGCGGTCAAGGATCGCAGACAATTGCTTCATCATAGTGAGAACCTGTGTAAGGTGGTGGGTAGATAGGGGAGTAGGGGTAGTAACTGGAAGAGGCAACAAGGGTTTGGAAGCTGAGGGCGAAAGGCAGAAAGAAATGAAAGTAAAGTGTAGAGGTCAGCCAACCTTCCTTCCTGCTCCCTGAGCATGATTTTCTCACCTCCAGCTCCATGTCTGTGGCACTGCCATTGAATCCAACTGGTATACCAACTCCCTTCTGCAAATCCAGGCCTTCTTTCAAACCCCACCTCGATCATCATCCTTTCTAAGAAGGGTTCCCTTACAGGATATAAGGTGCTGGTCATTAAAGTCAGCATGGTTTGAGGGGAAGAGCAGAGAAGTGAGGATGACCAGGTTTGAGTCCTAGGCCTACCATCTCCTGGCCGTGTCATTTGAGGCAAGTCTCATTCATTGTTTCATTTGTTTGTTCATTTATCCATCCACCAAACTGCTGAGTTCTTCCTAAGTATCTTTTGATATGACACCTGACCACTTCTTGAATCACTCTCCTTTTTGCCTCCCTCCCCTCTCCTTCTACTCCCACAATCCTTATCAATTTCATCCTCCTCTGTCCATTAAATGCTGGAGGATCTAAAAGCTAGGCCTAGCCTCATTTCTCTTTTCACTGTGGGCTGCCACACTCATGGCTTTGATTACCTCTATAACCCAATAATGCCACATTTGAATCTACAACCCAGACCACTCCTCTGTGAATCCAACAGCCAACCTGAGTTTGTCACTCAGCTTCCCCATCAAACTCGGCATGTCCGAAACTGAACTCCAATCTCCGTACCAAAACTGGCCTCTTCCAATATCTGCTACCTTTAGAGAATGGCATCACCATCTGTTAATTCCCAAAGCCAGGAAGTCAGGGGTCAGCCTGAATGCCTATCCCTCGTCCCACATCTAGTCAATCACCAAGACCTGTTGATTTTAATTATCTAAACACCTCTTGAATCTGCACGCTCTTCCTCAGCTCCACCATAGTCCATGATACTCTTCTTACCGGCCATGACTACCCAAGATCCTCCTAATTGATTCCTCACATCGACATCCACCTGCTAAACATCTTTTTCCATGGTACAGCCAAAGCCAACTTTTACAAAATTCAAATCTGATGATGCCGAGTGCTTTCCTGAAAACTCAACTATAGCTCCTTGCTGCTCTCAGGATGAAGAACAAATGGTTAAAGTGGCCTCTGAGGTCCCATAAGGTCTGACTGCCACCCAGCTCTCAGCCTCATCTGGCCCCAGTGGCCTTCTCTCAGTGCATTTGAAGTACCAA